CGGCCGCGCATGTCTGCAGCGGCCTGGCTGTTCTCAGAAAGCATTGCGTTTCATCAGTGCTGGGTCATATGTCAGTTGCTGGTGACCACAGTTGGAACTGACAAGTGGTTGCATAAATCCTGCCGATTGTAAGTGGTGAAAGGTACTGGTCCCTACTTCGCCTGTCGTGGTTTTAGAACATTTTATTCCTACTGCATCTTCCATGACTCATGGCTACACTGATAAAAGAGACAAAAATAGAGGTTTCTACCTAAAACCCTTCTTCTCTGCTTCCCATTTTTATTACTTTCTAATCCTTATTCTTTTTTTTTCACTGTCTAGAAAATTTACTTCAGAAATGACTTTTAGAAGATCTCTCAGGAGTCATGACATTTTCCCCAGCCCACCACCCCCTTTGGCAGTTGCTTGTCCTAAAAGTCATCATTAGCATGTTTTTTTGTTTTCATTTTAATCTTTTGTTAGCCTGCCTACAGTGAACATTGTAATACAAACTCATCTCTAACACTAGAAATAGCATATTTCAATTTTACTATGACGACTGGACCTACTGAATATTAGCCAATGAGACTTCCTGCTCATTTTGTTATCCGATTCCCAGCTGGCTTGAGAGCCAGTTAGGGGCGCCAGGAACTCCCACCCTTATTGCTAACAAAGACTTCATTATCTTTCCACCCCTTTCCACATTCTGAGTTGGAAGATTTTTTTTTTTTAACCAAAGGAACTGTATTTTTTTTTTTTAATCCTCACCCGAGGATATTTTTACATGTATTTTCAGACAGAGTGGGAGGGAGGGAGAAAGAGAGAGAGAGAGAAACATCAATGTGAGAGAGACACATCGACTGGTCACCCACCACCCACACAACTCCAACTGGAGCCGAGGATGAACCTCAACCGAGGTACATGCCCTTAGCTTGAACCGAACCCGGGACTCTCTGGTCCGAAGGCCAACGCTCTAACCACTGAGCAACTGGCCCAGGTGGAACGGTATTTCTTTTCTTTTTTTATCCTCACCTGAGGACATTTTTCCTTTTTTTGTTGTTGTTGTTGTTCAGAGTGGGAGGGAGAGAGAGGAAGAGAAAGAGAGAGAGCAACATTGATGTGAAAGGGACACATCGAGTGGTTGCCACCCACACGACCCAACCAGGGTCGGGGACAAACTGCAACTGAGGTACGCGCCCTTAGCGGGAACCGAACCCGGCTCTCTCCGAGCCACAGGCCAATACTCTAACCACTGAGCCAAACTGGCCAGGGCTGGAACGGTATTTCTTAAGTGATACTTTCTTTTTCCATTTTTATTAACCAAGGGTTTATAGCTAGATCTGAAATCTAAGCATGTTATTTAAATAGTATCAACATTGTTTGATTTTCAGATTGTTGATTGATGTTTGTTAGCCTGCGTGCCTTTACTATGAATAGAGAACTCCATTAACATTTTTAAAAATGGAAATATTGTGAAGTCTCTGTTTCTTGTTCTCTCTCCTCCCCTCCCCCCAACCCTCAATTACAGACTCATGGATCCCTAAGGTCCTAGGTCCTAGGAACTCAAGTTGAGGCTATCTATGATCTATAACTTGGGGGTTTGTAGTTTTATTAGCCAGTTTTTTTTTTAATGGAAAAATCATTTAAATTATCCACTAGAATGAATTTTTAAGGCAAGTACCACCTCCTTCCCCATTTGTGGGGGAATGTAATAGGTAATCCTTCTTGATACCCCTTAACCCCGCAGACCCAAACTCCTGCATCATCACCTTTTCTTTAACGTGCATTAATAAAAGGACTTCCCTGCTCCTCTCTCCCATCTGAGTTTTTCTTCTCTCTGCTGGCTTTGTGTTCTTGAGCGTACCTCCTTTCTGTCACCACTGTCTACCTCGCAGGACGTGCTGTCTCCACCTGTCTGCGTGCTGGGTTCCGCGTCACACCTGTCCACAGCCACCGCAGCTGTGAGAGGAAGCAGACCCGTTACCATTCCTGTGTTGAAGATGGGGACTGGTTTTTAAATAACCCGGTTAGAGTCATACCACTTTGTGTCTGAACAGTGACACTTGTTATCTCTTTCCTTTGGTCCTTAGGATGAAAAAGTAAAATGATTCAAAGACAAAAAAGTAGAGTGCAAAGAGAAAAAAAAGGCAGGAAAATAAGTAACTGGAGTAAATGGCCCCAACTAATCATGCTGTCCCAGTGGAGGGCCGAGGGCCTTCTGAAACTGGCCCTGCTGCGCTGCTGCTCCGCCGGGTGGCTGCTCCCACCTCTGCGCTGTGCAGGGCACTGTGTTCCTAGGTGCCCAGGTGTCAGCATCCCGTGTTCTGAAGCTACTTGAGCCCTAACCGGAAGCAGTATATGTATTTATGTTGGTTTTATTTTTTGACTCTTCTAATCAGGCATCACTTCCTAGCCTGCAGAGTGAGTGAGTGTGCTCGGGCAAATGACCCTGAAGAGAACATGTCCAAATAATTGGGCTTGCATGTTGCTGTTGAGGTTAATATTTAACAGAGAAAGACAAGTTTGTTTAACCAAAGGAGGATTTAGGGTAGTCATTAGTCAATATTTATATTACTCATTGTATTTTTCAAACATCAGTTTTGTGTAATTGCGCTGTCCAATACCATCTTCAGTTTAGCATGGAGACAAAGTGAAAACCAAACTACTTTATCCACAGTTCCAGTATGAGGTGGTAGAAGAAATAATGTAACCAAATTCATTTTATAAAAAGTATTTTTGTAGGGTCTATATGGAAGGATATGAATTTATTGTATCTCAGATACAATACGTAGTCATGGTTAGGTTTGGGTATAGTAGTAATATTAGGCATTGTCCATATTTTAACAACAGAAGATTTTTATTTTAACCCTAATTTTTATATTTATGCACTTTTTTTGGGTAAGCCATTTAAAATCCTCCTTCTTTGGGGAGGAGATAGCCACGTGTATGTTGTGAACAAAAACTTGGTGAAAAGTCCCTCCTTGTGTTGTAATGAGCAGTAATGAAAAGGTGGGTTTACATTATAGTCCATTTCTAGAATATAACTGCTTTGTAAGATGAGAGACATGCATTAAAAGGAGAATAATTGTAATTGCCACTTGTTTACAGTGGCAGCTTGAGAGTTGGGGCAGGTGGCCAAAAATAGCAGGTTCAAGCTGTACAAAGAGGGTTTAAGTTAAACATCAACCTATATACATTTCCTTTTAAAATCGTAATAAAGTACTATTGGGGTAATAAATTCTCACTGGATGGTAAGGAACAGGTGCCACTAGCCACCACTCCTCAAGGGGGATGGCTGTCTGGATCCACGATCGAGGTGAAGAATTGTGGGTCAGCGAGAGGCATGCGCGCCGAGCCAGCTGCCGGGCCCGAGCAGGAAGGGCCGGGAATCCACGCACCCAGCAAGCGGTGCCAGGCAGGCTGCTTAGGACACTGCAGAGCCCAGGGTTTGGACCCAGCGCTTCTTGGGTCCCTTTCATTCTCATTCATGTAAATGTTTCAGTGTTAGTAGACTTTTCCATCTGCTCTGCTCATTTCTGTTGGAGCATCCTTAGGAAAATTTACTGTACATATAAAAAACCACACTGTGTATAGCTTGTGTGTTTGTGCTTTTATTACCCTCTTTGTTTAGTTTGGACCAAGGAAAAGGCTTTTTATTAACAAGTTTTAATTATCTTGGAAAATAACATGGAACCTGCATTATTTGGGGTATTTAAACTTAAATGGAAACAGCAGTTGAGTGTTAACAGATGTGGTCACACAGGCCGTGCGGCCTGCTCCTCCATTCTCATCTAAGACTCTGTGGTTTAGAAAGCTTTAAAAAAAAAAATTTTTTTTTTAATCCTCACTCAAGAATGTGTTTATTGACTTTTTTAGAGAGGAAGGGAGAGAGAGGGAAACATCTATTGGTTGCCTCCCATACGCACCCCAATCAGGGATCGAACCCATAACCTAGGTATGTGCCCTGGGTGGGAATAGAACCCACAGCCTTTTGGTGCATGGGACGACGCTCAACCAACTGAGTCACCCAGCCAAGGCTAGGAAGCATTTGAATTTATTTCTTATATAAATGTTTATATAATCATGTCTATACTTTAGTTTTTGGAATGAATTAATTTATATGATAGCCTTCCTAAATGGATTTATTCTTTTTTCATCTGAAGAGACATCATTTTTCCATCTAATCGATGGCTTTGTTTTTTATTTAATAGCAAGAAGTAAGGGGTTCTTTGTTACTCTAGGAGTTACGTGCTGCTAGAGTTGGGAGGGTCCTCAGATGCCCCTTTCCAGCTGACAGCCGAGCACGACGCTGTGCAGTGTTCCACGGGGGCGTCCAGCCTTTGCTGGGATGCCTCTAGTGATGGGAAACGTACTTCCTTTTCCAGTGTTTTAACAACTTTCTTCAGTAGGTCCTGCTGTTTTTAAGCCAAAGTGTGCCTTCTGGTTACTTAGACTTTCAGTTCAGTTCTGTCCTCTCAAATAATACAGAACCAGTCTGTTTCCTCATTGACAACCCAGGAATATTTCTCCTGTTCTAGCTTGAATTTTTTCATCTATAAAATGATCATGAGTTACATGATCTGGTTATCTCACCAGGATTGAGATAAAGTAACTAAGATCACTGTGACCTTAGGCAAAAATCCTTTTCATATCTCAGAGTATTACCGTAGTTCTAGCTCTGGTGTATCATGCAATGGGAGAACAGCTGTGCGTGGCCATCAGATTGGGAACCTTGAGAGGTACTGACCAGTTGATGTTCTTGCCAGTAACTAATAAATTAATTCGTCTCTTCATTTAAACATTTATTGACAGTTCACTATGTACCTGGCACTTTTGGGCCTTAAGTGGATATACACAGTGAGCAAGACAGATACCGTTTCTGCCTCATTGGGGCTTAACATTTCTTTCCTAAATCTTTTTACTTTTAGATGTAAATGCTTTGACTTGTTGTTCTCCTTTAACTCAGGTGTTTTTGGTTTTCTGACTAGTGCAGTATGTAACAGTGTGTCTTTGATTTGTAGATATATGGAGTCTGGGAGTGATCCTTTTCATGCTGGTGTGCGGGCAGCCTCCCTTTCAAGAGGCCAATGACAGTGAAACGCTGACCATGATTATGGATTGTAAATACACAGTGCCGTCCCATGTGTCCAAAGAGTGCAAAGAGTAAGTAACATGGAGTATGCGATTATCCAGGTTCATTTCAATTTTTGAACTTAATATTTCTGCTCTTTTAACCCCAGACTATGATTGGAAATTTAATACTAGAGTAGAGTGTATTACTTTATTTCTTAAGTATGCCAGTTTTTAAGAAACTCATTACTTGTTTCTTTAGCCTCCAGGAGTGGGGGTTACTTTCCCTTGAAATGAGACGTTACCACGAGAGCTGCTTCTTTCTGTCTGCGTGAGCAGCAAGCAGGACCACCTGGAGTTATTTTCCTTTCCAGAGAGGAGTTAGGGCACTTCTGAAATAGACCATCAACACACCGTTTTAGGGTTTGCATGGTGTGTCTCATCCATTGTTCACACACTCCTCCCCCCAGCTGACTAAAGAGCTCTGTTTGGTTTATGTGACTATGGGAGCCAACCAAAAATAAACTCTAAGTCGATTATTTGGGATTTAAAGTACCACACGGTGTAGTGAGAAATACAATGGGATAAAGGAACTGTCGGAAGTTCAGTCTTTTGACATTCTGGGTGATACTCGTAAATGAGCTCGGCTAAGATTAGAGCCACTACTTAAAGGGTTTTGCTGTAGGAACACAGTTTGAGCTTCTCCCATCAGCTGGTAACTGTGGTGTCAGGTGGGTGCCAAACTCACTGGGGGATCACTGTGATTATATAAATGTCTGATTGCTATGCTGTACACCTGAAATTAATATAATATTGAATATCAACTGTAACTAGAAACACCCCCTTCCCCCCCCAAAAAAAAAGAAGAGAGAGAGAGACGGAAATCTGATAGCTTGAAGAATTTTTTCTCCAAGTAGAGCCCCATCTTGGGCCATTGGTGGGTCATTAAGAACTTAGGCGTTCAAACTCTCGGGATTCAAATACTAGCTTCTCCCTTTACGAATGATGTGAGAATGATAGGACCTGCCTTTTAGGTTTATTGTGAAAATGAAATGAGTTAATGTATATAACGCTCTTAGCCCAGTCCTTAGCACTAGCACATGGGAAGCGCCTGGTATGATTGATGGCGGTGGTGTCTGTCCTCACCGTTACTATTTCTACCCCAGGAAGCAGGGGATGTGTTGTGCACATGTTAAATGTTTGTAATTCAGGGTATCTCCACGGCCCCCACTGAAAAACTAAAACTTATTTTTATACTGAAATATATTATTCACAAGAATGTTTGTTATAAAATGAACACCTCTGTGCCGGTTAGTCCAGCTTAAGAAATGGAACGGTTCTAATAGCTTAGAAGCCTCTGTGCCTCCCTCCTAGAGGAATTATCTTTAATAATCACAGGACTGTTCAGTTTTCTACTTTCTCCTGTGTCAGTTTTGCTAAGTTGGGTTTTTCAAGGAACTCCTTCGTTTTATCTAAACTTTCAGATTTATTGGCCTCGGGTATTTATAATATCTTCCAGTTATATTTTTAAAGTGTACAGTTCAGTGGGAATGTTGCTCTTTTTCATTCCAATATTGGTTCCTTTGGCTTTCTCTTATTTTGGTCTTGGACAATCTAGCCTGAGGTTTAGTATTTGATTCGTTTTTTTAAAAGAACTGCCTGTGTTTGTTTTAATGATGGATTTACCTCCCTTTCCAGCCTGATTACACGGATGCTACAGAGAGATCCCAAGAGAAGGGCCTCTTTAGAGGAGATTGAAAACCATCCTTGGCTTCAGGGCGTGGACCCTTCTCCAGCCACCAAGTATAACATCCCCCTCGTGTCGTACAAGAACCTCTCGGAGGAGGAGCACAACAGCATCATTCAGCGCATGGTGCTCGGGGACATCGCGGACCGAGACGCTATCGTTGAGTATGTCACCACTCTCCTGTTTGGGGCCACGGTGTAGGATTCTTGGAATGGCTCCCTCTCTACTAGCCAGGGCTTGTGGACACTGTTGGGTAGAGATCCCGGTTGGCAGGGTCATGTCATTTATCTCTGGAGTTTCCAGCCCAGGGCTTGGCTCATAGGTTCTGTTGGTTTTGTTTTTACTTCTGTGCTAGTGACCAGGGGATGTGTTACCGAGCGCTGTGGCCTCCTCCCTTCCTACTGGGTGGTTGGAACAGCCTGCTTTGTGTCCATGCCTTGTCCATGCAGCGTCCTCTCCATCCCCATGTCCCCACTGGTTCTAGAGCAAGCAGGGAGAATGGGGCAGTACCTCAGGTCCCTGAAGTCAGGGATTGGCACCTGGGGCCAGTCACACGTTTATGAGTCAAGTGCTGGTGGACCACAGCCACGCCCACTCATTCATGCCTGTCCACGCGGCAGCGCGGCAGCGGCAGAGTGCTTGTGAGGGCCCACACAGCCCGCCGAGTCACAGCCGTCCTGTCTGCTCCTCCAGAGCCCTGCTGCCAGCCTGGACCATCGGACCTGCAGGTTGCTAATTAAGTCATTTAACACCAAAGAAGGATTCCATAACCCAAGGAGTTTGGAAATCACCTGACTTTTTTTTAATAACCTGAGAAGTTTGGAATCCAGGATAATATGCAGATACAGTTGCTTTGGTATAGCAACGGTTCATTTCTGTAAGAGGTCCTATCTATAAAAATAGGAAGCATCTCCGCCAACGAAGAGTCAGAAGTTATTTAACCCGTTGAGATGGTTGGTGTGATGGAGAACGTCTTGCCAAGGACACTCACTTTAGGAATGTGTAGAAAATGGTTTTTTCTTTTTTGAGTAGATAAAGGCTATTTTTGTCTCCCTGAATTGGCTTAATGTTCTTAGCTTAAATAAATAAATACCTGCCATGGTATCATAGAGCTATTTGAGTTGTGTAAATTCGGTTATAAATCCAAAAGGAGGGGTCATGGAGATTCCGTGTGCCCATCACGGGTGAGCATGTGCTCAGGTGAAGCGGGGGCTGGACACCTAAGCCTCCGGCCGTCCCGTCCTCTCGTGCCCACCTCGGGCTTGGACTTGGGAGTCTTGTCCTCAGCCCGCCCTGCCCCGGTGAATCTGGGCCCCCTGTACCTGTTGCAGAAAGTGATCCCCATGTGCTTTCCTGAGTGTTCATTGTGTGTTCTCACTGACGACAGCAAGTTCCCGAAAAGCCTGGTTGCGTAGTCCTGGGCCTGTGGGTCCCCTGTCGCACTCTCGAGCCAGCGCGGAGAGCGGCAGGGCCCGGTGCTCTGCGGCCTTCTTCCCCGGCCCTCCCAGCCGCGGGCGCCGGACTCGCACTCAGAGCATTCGTTTTGAAATGGATGAATGAACACCTTGACAAAGCAGATGCTAGTGACAGGCTCTCAGTACATCAATGATTCATTTGTATCTGAAATTCCAATAAATGCAAAGAGTATAAAAGTAAAAACCGCCCCCCATGTTTATGATTAGTGTTTCAGTGCACATTCATATAGCTCCCTTCAAACTTCTGATGGCAGCCAGCAAGGAGCTCAATGAGAAGAAACACTGACACGATGGGAGGTTTGGGTGATGTGTGCAGCCCTGGAAGCCTCATTACTTTCATGCCTCCAGCCCTGCTGCTGTCAGCATTTTGGCTTTTTCTTACTAACTGAATATTTTTTTGCAGTTTTTTTTAGAATTCCAAGAGTGATCTAAACACTAGGTATTTTTCTTTGTTTATTATCTTTCATCATTTTAAAGATTCCAAATCATTGGATCTCATTTGCTTGTACTTTTTAAAAAAATCAGTTCTGCTTGTAAAAACCTGCTGCTGAGGCTTGTTCACTCTGTTTCCCTCAGAGCCCTGGAAACCAACAGGTACAACCACATCACAGCCACGTACTTCCTGCTCGCGGAGCGGATCCTGAGGGAGAAGCAGGAGAAGGAGATCCAGACCAGGTCTGCAAGCCCCAGCAACATCAAAGCCCAGTTTAGGTGAGAAAAACTCTTCACTGATTTTAGTAAGTGAACGTTTTGAAATAGTGAACTTTGTGTGTGTGTGTTTGTTTCATGCTTCCTAACTCTGGGCGAGACAGCAGGACCCGTGGTGGTGGCCTCACTGGAGAGGCCACCCGTGGGCTCTCCACGCGCGTGGGGGTCTTGGATTCATCGCCTCCAAGGGTGCCTCACCCCCCTGGGCTCGGTGGGCTGTGGCTGCCGGCCTGGCCAGGGCACGCGTTTGGACGAGTGCTCTCCAGCCGGGTGTCTCAGTTATTTCCATTAAGCTCTTGTAGGTCTGACATGTAGTAATGTATTCTTTTCTTTATTATTTTATTCCCAGGAAGAAGGCTGATTTTTTTCTCAGTTATTTGAAATATATATTTTTTAAATAACAGGGCATTTCTGGGCTATGATGTTAGCTCAGGATTTCAGGGATTTGACAGATGAGCTAGTTGACTTATTGGCTGCTTGACCTTGGGAGGTCACTTGACCTCTCTGTGACTCAGCCTCAGGATCTGGGGAATGGGGGTAAGAACACCGACTACCTCCTGGGACGCGGTGGCCAAATGAAGAACTTCCTCCTGGCTCCGGGATTTGCTGCAGCTGTTAGGAGAACTTCTCAGCCACCTCTCTTCTTCCGCTCCCTTACTTCCCCTCCCTCCCCTTCCCGAACTCTCCCTCTTCCTCCTCCTCCCCAGCTTCCATTTAAAGCCAAAGCATAAGAAGGGTTACCTTTTATGTCGTCATTATGACATTTATTTAGAATTTATATCCAGATAAAGTAACCCACAGAACTGTAGTGATTCAAAAACCAAAAGATGCTCCCAATTCTGAATAATTCTCTACTCGTCCATTCATCTCTGTGGTTATGTGTGTGTGAATATATAATTATTATTTAAAATAGGAAGAAAACCGTTAGGTTTTTAATTGCCTACAGTCAGCTTGCCATGGGTAGGTTGTTGCTTGGGCTGGAGCGGCAGAGGGGAGAGAAGAAAAGTCTCGGGGCTAAAGAATAAAGAGAAGTCTGAGCTGGAGCTGAGTTCAGGAACTATATTTATGTCCTGGACGTATTCTTGTGCAATGGAAACTCGGCTCGCTGTCCGCTGTCTGCTGTCTGCTGGGGAGAGGACGGGGCCCCGGGGAGCCAGGGGACTCCTGGGTGTGAGCTAGACCAGGAGAGGACGCTGAGGATAGGGTCAGCCTTGTCCTGACCGGAGCCCTCTGGTGGGGAAGCACAGCCTGCGGCGTCACCACGCACCAGGCCACCCGGCTGGGAGCCGCCCCAGGCCTTTGGAGAAGGGATGTTTGGGTTTGAGCTGTTTTCTGTTCAGTGAAGCAGCAGAGCTCAATCTAAAGGTGACCGAAGGGTGATGGAGTTACAGTGGTTCACAGAGCCAGAGGTAGCTATGAAGAAGTGTCGGCGCCCACACAGCTCTCTACCCCCAGGGGCTCGGGGTGGGGTGCTGTGGAGCCCGTCCCCTCCTGTGGCCTGGGGCCCACTGGCAAGTGGCAGATGTCTGCTTCCCTCCTCCTCTTCATGTCACCGCGACTTTGATGTCTAGACCTGGGACCTGACATGGTTCCGTGGCTGAGGATGCCTTGTGGGCAGACTGACCTGGGATGTAGGACCTGTGCTGGGTCGGGGGACCAGTGTTTAAAGCAGCTTAGTTGGTTCTGCAGGGAGGGGTGGCCAGGGAGAGCCAGCTACAGAGGGTGCATTCGGAGGTTCTCGCCGTGCGAGTGGAAGGTGGTGAGGTCTGCCTGTCCGAAGGGGCCTTGTGAAGCCCTCCGGGAGCTGGCTTCCTCTCGGAGAGAGCAGGAGTGAGGGGTGCCACTGAGCCTGACTGCGGGTCCCTCATCCAGATTGGAGGGCTTCATAAGCTGCAGAGAGGCCACTACCCTGCGGCCTTAGGAGCCACGAGTCCAACCCAGATGTCACTTTCTTCCAGCTTGTGTGACCTTAGGCACGTTCCTCACCCTCTCTGGTCTCAGATTTCTTCATATGTAAAGAGGGGATGATAGCACCTCCCTCGTGGAATTTTGGATTAATGAGTTAATCCCTGGCAGCTGGCAGCAATGAGCTCTCTGTGCGGTGCTGTTGGGGTGACCCACTCTTCCCACAGGTTGTTGGGCTCAGTAGATGTGAGCTACTCAGCCATTTGATTTCCTCGTGGAAATGAGCCGCGGTTCAGAAGTGGCTGTTGGTGACCTCTGAGCTGTAGCCCTTACCCTTGTCTCTGGGGTGGGAGGGGAGGAGGGAAGGGCCTTTGTCACGTCTGTGCCCCTCCCTGTCCTCAGATGGACTGGCTGTTGCTCCGGTGAGTCAGCCATGCTATCAGCACCTCGCCCCACCACAGGCTTCCCGTGCTGGGTGACGCTCTGGGTGCTGCTTGCCTGGGGGCCGTGCTGTGTGCAGCTCCGTCTGCAGGACCCGAGGCTCCCGGGGTCGATGGAGTGCTGGGTGACGCTCTGGGTGCTGCTCGCCTGGGGGCCGTGCTGTGTGCAGCTCCGTCTGCAGGACCCGAGGCTCCCGGGGTCGGTGCAGTGCTGGGTGACGCTCTGGGTGCTGTTCGCCTGGGGGCCGTGCTGTGTGCACCTCCGTCTGCAGGACCCGAGGCTCCCGGGGTCGGTGCAGTGCTGGGTGACGCTCTGGGTGCTGCTCGCCTGGGGGCCGTGCTGTGTGCAGCTCCGTCTGCAGGACCCGAGGCTCCCGGGGTCGGTGCAGTGCCGGTGGGGGACCGATGACTTGTTCAGAGACACTGCTTGACCCCAAAAACATTACTGAACACTCAGTTTCTGTAAACTACCAAGGAGTGACTACAGCAAATAGTTCTCCATCCTCACGAGAATATGAGCAGGCTCTGAGTTGTTATAAATTCCTGTGAGTTTTATCAAGCTGTAGATTTAATTGGGTTTTATCTCTAGGATAACATAATTGGTGTGAAATGCAAATGTCATCCTGTGGAAGTGGCTGTTGTAAATGTGTCTGGCATCGGCTGGTCCCCTGGGCAGAGAGGACAGCTGAGAGCTCCAAGATGTTTATTCAGAACAGGACAGAGACCTAGTTTTCAAGTCCTTTTCTTTGGCTACCAAGCAGTGTTCTTGTTACTTGGGTGACTCAAGATTGGGGAATAAAATCAAAGTTTAAATAATAGTGAATTTTACCATCCAGTAGTCTTTTGTGATGTTTAAAAGATATATTTACATTTAGCTCATTGCATTTAAAAAGCTTTTTTTTTTCTTTATTGGTTTTAGAGAGGAAGGGAGAGGCAGAGAGAGAGAAACATCAATGAGAGAGAACATCGATTGGCTGCCTCCTGCACACCCCCCACTGGGGATCAGGCCCACAACCTGGGCATGTGCCCTGACTGGGAATCGAACCGGCGACCTCTTGGTGCCTGGGTTGATGCTCAACCACTGAGCCACACCAGCTGAGCTAGCTCATTGCATTTTTTAACTGTGAAGGAGAGATGTATATGTGCCAGTGGATACTGACTCTTCTCTCCATTATTCTCATACTTACATCCATTTAACTGTTTCCATTCATTTTGTAAATACCAGACTTTACACCACCCTGTAATCTGGAGGACTGGGAATTTTGGGTGAATTTTATTAGCAATAATAGACCTTCAAAGGCTGTGATCTCAGACCCAAAGGAACAGAATGTGTGGTGTTCAGGTTTTGCTTTGGTAGTAACTCCATTATACTTTTAAAAAATGTTTTTCTTGTGGTGTAAACTGTTGTATAGAAGAGTCACCCTTTGCAAACCCTTTTCTGACAGCTGGGATGAGGTTGTTTCTTTTGGCCACTAAGCCACAAATTGAACCGTATTTCGAAGCCACACGTGCCCTTCTGCCATCCCACTGATGTTGACGGATGTGGGATGGGTGGGTCTGCAGGGCTGCTGGTCCTTTTTCTTTTTAAGTCTGTGGATCTTGTCCCAGTAGATTGTGTAGGATGCACTTTAGCAAAGTCTGCATATTATCACATGGCTGTCTTTCCGATCTGTTACACAGGCAGTCATGGCCAACCAAGATTGATGTGCCCCAGGACCTTGAGGATGACCTCACGGCCACTCCTTTGTCACACACGCCTGTCCCTCAGTCCCCTGCGCGGGCTGCTGACAATGTCCTCAATGGCCACAGGGGCAAGGGGCTCTGCGACTCGGCGAGGAAGGACGAGCTCCCCGAGCTGGCGGGCCCGGCGCTGTCCACCGTGCCGCCGGCCAGCTTGAAACCCGCGGCCAGCGGGCGGAAGTGTCTGTTCCGGGTGGAAGAAGACGAAGAGGAAGATGAGGAGGACAAGAAGCCCATGTCCCTCTCCACACAAGTAGTGCTGCGCCGGAAGCCGTCTGTGACCAACCGCCTGACCTCGAGGAAGAGCGCCCCTGTCCTGAACCAGATCTTCGAGGAAGGGGAGTCGGACGACGAGTTCGACATGGATGAGAACCTGCCCCCCAAGCTGAGCAGGTTAAAGATGAACATCGCTTCCCCGGGGACGGTGCACAAACGCTACCACCGGAGGAAAAGCCAGGGCCGAGGCTCCAGCTGCAGCAGCTCGGAGACCAGCGACGACGACTCGGAGAGCCGCCGGCGGCTGGATAAAGACGGCGGCTTCACCTACTCCTGGCACCGCAGGGACAGCAGCGAGGGGCCGCCAGGCAGCGAGGGCGACGGCGGGGGCCAGAGCAAGCCGAGCAACAGCAGCGGCGGGGCGGACAAGGCCAGCCCCAGCGAGAACAACGCGGGCGGGGGCAGCCCCTCGGGGGGCTCGGGGGGCGCCCCGGGTGGCACCTCGGGCAGCACGCGCCGCTGCGCCGGCCCCGCCAACTCCACACAGCTGGCCTCGCGCAGCGCTGGGGAGCTGGTCCAGAGTCTCAAGCTCATGGGCCTCTGCCTGGGCTCCCAGCTCCACGGGGGCACCAAGTACATTATCGACCCACAGCACGGCCTGGCGTCCTCCAGCGTCAAGGTGCAGGAGAAGTCCGCGTGGAAAATGTGCATCAGCTCTGCGGGCAGCCCAGGCCAGGCCCCGGCCGTGGGCAGCATCAAGATTTTCTCTGACCGCTTGGCGGACAGCGCCGCCGAGTTAGAACGGATAAAGAGCAAGAACCTGAAAAATAACGTGCTCCAGCTACCTCTGTGCGAAAAGACCATCTCGGTGAACATCCAGCGGAACCCTAAGGAGGGGCTGCTGTGCGCCTCCAGCCAGGCCAGCTGCTGCCATGTCATCTGACTGCGGCGCCCGGGCCTCCTGCTCGGCGGGAAGCCGGCTCCCTCCTCGCTCCTCAGTTTGCTCTTTCCCGGCGGGCACTCTCCTCTGGTCCATCTGTGCGCCTGGTGATGACAGTGCATGGTCCTTGTGCATGCTGCTGCTAGACACCGCTCTCCTTTTCCAGCCGAGAAGGCTGTTTTGTCACTTTTACATTCATACTTTTAATGGGGATGATCAGGATGAAATTAAAATGTATATTTGGAACCTAATATAAATGGAGCACTTAGAAATTTCATGTTCCGCACTTAACCTAGACAGAGAAAAAATGCTTTTGTTTCCTTGTTGAAAAATCTAAATTCCTGTCCTGACCTTCTGTGATGCGGAAACTCCGTGCGGAGGCACGCTGGTGTCTGAGACAGAACCAAAGCAATAACGGTGTGAAGCCGACAGGCCCCGAGGCCGCGCGGGCAGAGCCCAGCCAGCGTCTGCGCGACGACTCAAACCCGATTCCAACATACCCACACCTTTGTCTTAAGCTATAGTGTGAAGAAAGTTTGGGGCTCTTAAAATTTAACTGAAAAAGATTTTCTTGTTTTGTAATAGGTGAGATATAAAGTACTTAGATTTATAAGGCAGCTTCCCCTGTAGTGGTAAATTACAAGCAGACAATCTTATTTTGTAATGTGATAAAGTGAACTGATGATGTCTTAACTCTACTTATAGAGTGTATGTCTGTTTAACAGAACAAAATGATGCTCGGTGTGAATTCCTTCCTGTAGGGCACAGCCCAGCGTTTCCTTTAGAACCATGTAGATAGAAGAAACTGGGGGGCCTGACATGGAAGCAAAGGTGCACACACAGGTGGGCAAAGTCGCAGCCCCATAAATTACAAAACAAACAAAAACCCATATATATATATATATATATATGATTTTTCCGAGTTTGGTAATTAGGTTCTGCCTATTGTTATTTCCATTTTACATCCTTTAGCTCAATTAGCTATGAAAATTGGCTGATCAGAAAATACACACAAAAGGGTAGGATTCGCACATACAGCAAACCAAAATGCACAAAGCCTGCTTCGTTTTTTGGGGGGTAGTGTTTGTTTTTGCTGGAAGTGATTTTCATTTTGCCTTCCTGCCAAAACAATAGTCAAGAACTCTTGCTTTAAACTGTTCCTGTACAAAGACTACTTCTGACCAGATAATCATCTTTCGTGACATTGTATCTGTAAGACACACAGTATATTGCAGATTGCTGATTTCGGAAGGGGCCAGATGCTAGTTTTTTATGCTGTGCCCTGGGAGGTCTTAAAAGCCATGCTTAGCCACATTGGCAGTAGGATGTGGCTGGGCCCAGGGCCTTCCCACGCTCGGCCTCCAGTGATGTCTCTAGGGACAGTCTCCTGGTCCGGACAATGGTAGAGCACCAAAGGCAGCGTCCACTGGTCATGGTTTCTCCAAGTATACACTGATCTTGCTACTTTAGTATTCATATATTTTACTCAGAACTCTGAATTTCACTGTATACTTACTAAACTAAGTAAAGATGATACTTAAAATACTTTTATTTTCTAGACCTAGGCTAGGTATGTTTTAAGCTATAGCTCTAGTTCATTGTGATATTTATAATTGAAAGCTATGAGAATAGGTGTGTGGGTGAAGCCATAGAACACATTTGCTTGAAATTCTTGAGCAGGGATCTTATAAAGGGCCAGAAATAAGATGTGTGGTTCACGTAGACAGTGAGCGTAACATCTGTATTAAACGTAGGAGAGAAGTTTATAAAGGGCATTGGCAATAAACTCTTTGTTGCAGCTGTTTTACAAGTAATGTAAATACTCTTTCCTGTGAGTATGTATAGCCTTGGAATGGCACCTTTTAACCCATCTGTGTTGAGTTTTCAATGGTTTTTTTTTTTTTTATATTCAGATGTATATATGGTGCTCACTTTAGGATCAGCAGTGTTGACCATTTATGCTGCATAGCTGTATCATAGCCTTATTAGTTGTGTGGTTGGTTGGCCCTCTGGGTACACAGATGTGAGTCTGAGTGGCGTCCTACTCATTTGTTCCTCAGTGAATGACTGTGCATGTGTTGTATGTCATACTATGTTGTCCCACAAAAGGGAGGGAGCGGATAACCATTACATTAAGATAATATTGGACCAAACTACTTACTTGCTCTAAACAGTTTCTTGTACCCCTTAACCTGTCTTCAGAAGTTGCATAGAGTTACAGTAGTGTGTAAATTAAATATTGTGGACAATTAGTCTTGTATTTTTCTGTATGTGTGTGTGTATATATATACATATATGTGTGTGTGTGTATATATATATATATATATATAAAATTATGTACTTCTGGCAATTCTATCTGTATTTAAAGATGTGACAATCTTGACACCGATTTTGAGAATAGCTGTGAGACTGAATCAAATTAAAGGTATTTCTGCCAAGTAAGAGTTGATGTGTGTTAAGAGGGTACAGAATCATCAGCGGATTTGGTCAGTTGATGCTACTGCTGGTTGATTTCCTCATTGTGTAAACATTGACAGGTATGTGACAAATGGGAAAAAGTCCAAACAATAAAGTGGCATATTGGTGTTCAGCAATACAAACCGCGCCCCGTGTTCTGTGTCCTCTCAGGAGCGCAGCCTGTACACGCCGAGCCTGGGTCCGACCGCTTTCTACACGCCGCGCCGCTGCGCCGCCACCTCTGGCGGAAACGGCCAGTCCCGACTGTCCTTGCTTTACCCTCGCGGTCACAGTCTCAGGCGGGCAGGACTGCCCGGGAACTGCTCTGTTTCCCCAGTTCCTCTGCTTTCCTCGCGCGGTCGCCATGCGCCCTGGGACTGAACACACGGAGGAGGCAGGACGGCACGGCTCCCACCTTCCTGCCTCTGTGCGCGGCCACAGCCCTGACCCCTCGGGGCTCGGTTCCCGCACAGCTGCGCCGCCGCCCCAGGACTGCACTTGGCCGCCGCCTCGCATCGACTTCCCTGCCAGACCGGTCCTGACAGCAGGCGGTGGGCCAGGACTGTGTTCCCGCCCCTGCAGCTGCACCACGTCTCTCTCCGCGTGGGCTCCTGAGCCCCTCCAGGCAGGCTTTTCCTGCAGTCACCCACCAGAGTGTTTCATTCGAGGTCAGCAGTGACCTCCATGGGCTAAATCCAGTGCTCAATTTACCAGCAACTTGGAGAATATAATCCATATACCACCGATTAAATTGTACAATTCAGTGGTTTTAGTCTGTTCTCAGAGTTGTACAACATTCCATAAATCCAAAAAGAAATCTTATACCCGTTAGCACATTCTGCCTTTCTCCTAACTCCCCACCCAAGCCTCAGCCCCACACAGCCACTAATCCACGGTCGGTTTCAACCCATCCGAGCGTTTGATGAGTTGATTACTTCTTTCTTACAAACTTCCCATTGCTCAGGACCCCACATCTACCTAGCTCCCCATTCTAAACTCTAATCTTGAAATCCCCCAAGTTCAGTTCTGGATCCTACTCTCTGTGCACTCAGTCTCGATCCCTTGAAGTCTAACATCTACAGGTAGACTCCAAAAAGAGATTTAGCTCACTTTTCTCCCAGGAACATCAGATTCCAACGACCGGTGTGACTTCGCTGCTTGGGTGTGTCTAGCAGCACCTTCATTTTTGCGAGTCCAGAACTCCTGCTAATCTCCCCTTCAAATCCTTACCCTCCTGATGCTCCGCTTCTTATAGATGGCAATTCCTAACCTTCGTTAGTTTTGCACAAACCAAAAATCTTGGTGCCATCCATTCAGTCCATCAGCAAATCTTCACCAAAAATGGACCCTTTACTGCCTCCAGGTTGACACCTGGTGTGTGACATCATCACTCATCTGACAACTGGAAACGCCTCTGCGAGGGTCTCGCTTATGCTCGTTTTGTCTGTTCCCCGTTCAGCAGTGTGAGTGATCCCTTTGAACGCATAATCGTGTTCTGAAAGGTGTTTAATTTCCAAATATTTGAGATTCTCCACATACGTTTCTGTCCCTGATTTCTAGTTGAATTCTTTTGGTCAGAAATCATGCTTTGTATATTTAAATCTTTTGAAACTTATTATTGAACGTGTTTTGTGGCCTAGCCAGTGGCCTATGTCGGTGAATGTTTCTGTGCTTGAAAAGTGCTGTTGTCGGTCGAGTGTTCGATATACATGTAGATTAATTCGGGCTGATTGATGATGTTATTCAGGTCTTCTACATCCTTACTGATTTTCTGTCTCATGTCCGTTACCGAGAGAGGAGTGCAGAAATCCAGTGAGAATTGTGGATTTGCCTACTTCTTTATGTTGTTAGGTACATACACATTTAAGATTCTTATGTTTTCTTGATGAATTGATCCCCTGCACCTTTATGAAGCGTTCCTCTTTATCCCCGGTGAATTATTCTTTGTCCTGAAATCTGCTTGGTGTGGGATATTATTATAGCCACTGTAGCTTTCTTTGACTTGTGGGAGTATATCCTTTTCCATGTTTTTACTTTTAACGTATCTGTCTTTATGTTTAAAGTAGGTTTTTAGGGGCACTGGCCAGTTTGGCTCAGCAGTTAGAGTGTTGGCCCCTGGACTGAAGGATCTTGGTTTCAATTCCCGGTCAAGGGCACATACCTGGGTTGCAGGTTGGATATCCGGCCCTGGCCAGGGTTGTGCAGGAGGCAAAATATCCTCAGGTGAGGATTAAACAAATAAATAAAGTAGGCTTTTTGGGTTGTTTTGTTTGTAGACAGCATATAGCTGGGTCTTGCTTTTCTATCCAATCTGCAAATCTTTGTCCTTTATTTGGAGTGTTTGGACCAATTATATTAGTGTAATTAATAACATGGTTGAGTTTAAATCTACTTCTTTCTAGTTGTTTTTTATTTGTCTGATCTATTCTTTGTTTCATTTTCCTGCTGTTACTTTTGGGTTAACTCAGCACTTTTATTGGCTTATTGGTTGTGCCTCTATTTTTTAGTGGTTTCTGGAGGGAAGATATGTGTTCACAGTCTACCTTAAAGTAATATCACTTTGTGCAGAACGTAGAGCCTTACAACTGTACACTTCCATTTCCTCCTGCTCGTGCTGTTGCCACACACTTTATTTACATATGTTTGTATTTTACCTACATCTCTATCATGCACAGTCCTCCTCGCTCCTGGTATTTTCCTTCTGCCTGTAGAACCTCCGTTTCCTTACGATGCAGGTCAGCTGCCAGTACACAGTCAACTTTGCTTGTCTGGAAAAGTATTTTTACTTTATTCGTGAAGGACATTATCACTGGGTTCAGAATTCTAGGTAGGCAGCTTTTTTTTTTTTTTTTTTTAATTGCAATGCTGGACACATAATTTTTACATTGCTGTGTGCTGAAAATTGTATTCATGTAAAAAATGTTGGTTTTTGTTCTGGTATATGATTACCTGAAATCATTGGATCCTTTGGGGTTTTGCTTTTGAAGTGTGAGGACAGGTCCAGAGCAGGCTTCTGGGCCGGTCTGGCCGACCCCTGCGGCGGTGCCCTTCCAGGGGCCCTGCTGAGGTCTTTCCACCCGGCGAGTGGGAGCAGACGCTGTCCCCAGCTCTGCTTGCGCCCCGGGCATCGAGGAGCCTGCGCTTCCAGAGGTGCTTTCTCCAGCCCCCGGTAGTTTTCTCGTGTGTCCACATCAGTGCTCAGTCCGACTGCAGGTTTCCAGAGCTCGCTCGCTCTACCGCTGGTGCCGGTTTTCGGCCTCGTGTTCTGGGGTTGGGAGGGGCAGAGGTCACTTTAAGTGGCTCTTCAGTCCCCATTAGTGTGGAAGCATATGTGGTTTGCATTTTTCGAGCCAGACAGCGACGTGAAGGGAGGGATGTTTCCTGTCTGCACCGAGCTGCCCTCCGCTCATTACTCAGCGCTCCCGGGATCCCAGTCCTGAGAGCACGTTAACGGGCTGGTTCAGCTGCGAGTCTTCACACCCTGGGCTGGCCCTGCAGGCCTCTGCCTGTTGGAGATGCAGAGGGGGTGTTGCTCACCCCTGGCGAGGTCAGCCGGCCGGGACTCACCCAGCTCTGCCCATTCTGCCCCCGTGCCTGGGCCCCAACACTCAGGTGTAACCGGGGGATGGCAATAGGCAGGAAGGACAGACAGCCATGTGAGCGGGACACCTCGCTGTCCTGCCGTCTGCTGCAGTTCAGTGAGGACAAGGACCGCTACGGGTGCTTCCTCAGCCCTGCTCCTGAGCACGTACCTCGAGCTGGGTGCCAGGACCCATTGCTGGGACAGAGAACCAGGGCCCGGCGGACCTACGAGCATCCCCTTCCTGCTAGCCAATCTGGGCACAACCTGACCAGCCCCACACCCTCCTCCCCGCGGCCCAGGGGACATCCGTGCCCACCCCAGGGCCCTTTCCCTGGGCATGGTCCTGGTCGTGTGGGGTTCTGCCTGGTCGGACCCGGAAGGGCGGAGGGGAGCTTCTGGGCATGACAGTCACAGCGAGGGCACCCCAAGTGAGGAGGGCCACCTGGAGAGAGGCTGCCACTGTGAGGCAGCTGTGAGCCCGCAGGCAAGATGAGCTGCTGGGGTTCACATCAGGAGCCCACATCCAGAACCCACCGCCTCGAACCCAACTGCATTCACGCGACTGAGGGAGCCGGAGAGCCGGTCTGAGGCCCCCGCCTGAGCACAGGGCCCAGGCTGGGCTTTCTGGGAAGCTCCTGGCTCAGCTCCACCATGGCGGGGACCTCGCGCTGTGTGCAGAGCATGATCTAGACAGCACTCATCGAGCCTCGAACCGCCACCGAGTACATACGTGTGCCACCGAGTGCCTCGGGGGACCCAGCAGAGAGGGCATTCCGGCAAGCTGGCGGTCTGGGGGGACCTACTGCACAACCCAGAGATGGGGGTCAGGGTGCCCAAAAACGTGATGCTGGAATGGGCTGCTGAGGCCACCCCGGTCTTGATGTGGAGGGAATCGAGGGGGTGGGCCCTGAGGGAGGGGACAGGCCTAGACCCCAAAGCCCCTCAGTGCCCCTGCTCGCCCGTCTCCCAGGTGGCCGAGGCTCCTGCAGCGTCCTGAGCGGAGCGCCTGTCCGGCTGTGAGGGGCATGGGACCTGCGGGGGGCGCTGTGTCATGAGGCGGCATTTGAACAGCTGCAGAACAAGGCAGGCCCTGCCCTTGCGCGGTCCTCATGACTAGGCCGCGGGCAGGGAGCAGCCAGGCTCGTCGCTGCCTTGTGTCTGGAGGGCCATACCCGTGGCCCACACAGCTACTGTGTCTGCGAGGTGCAGCCCGTGGGCACACGGGGACGCAGCACCCCTGGCCAGGACAGCTCCCCCCATGCAGGTATCAGCCACCCCAGGCTGCCAGGTGTGGCCGCTGGGCCTCAGCCTGGCACCTGTGCGTGGAAACAGCCCCCACGACCCTTGCCAGGCACCCCTGGGGCCAGAACCTCCCGCGAGCCACCCTAGCTGCGGCTGTGGAAGTGGCACCCCGGTGCCAGCCCACGCTCAGCTCCCACCGCACGGCTCCACCGTGCACGACCTGCCCGCGCTCCGCCCGGAACCCGCGGCCGGCTCAGTCCACGCGTGGGAGCAGGTGGGCAGGTGTGAGGCGCCTTTAATAGCTG